TAAGTGGGAGAACTTGCACAATTGGTGGCTGACTAAATACCTTTTTGCCCCACTGTATCTATCCCCATTCTTAATTTAACTTCCTGTGCTTCATAATATACAGAATTTCACATATCTGTATTGTTACCTTCCTCCCTAAAAATGACACATTTAAAATGAAACTCTTAGCAATTAATCTTTATTAAAAAGCAAGATGTTTTTGCTCCTTATTTATAGAAGTTCTTGCCTTTTGAACACCCGCAAAATGCATAAAAATTGCATTCAACCAAAGGACTTTTGGAAGTATTAGTGACAGTGGCCTATTTGTGGCTATTGTGGCTGCAAGATGAAGGACAGGCCACTTCTTTCTTTCCTTGAACCAACCTCCATTGATTATACTTTATGTATAAAGTTTTTATGCCTCTCACTCAACAGTTAATCCGTGCCAGTACCTTTAAATTGGAAACAGCCCAGAGTATTGGTGAACATGATCAGATGGTCAAAATCCCACCTTGTTCTTTGCACATTCCTCAGATCAGATTTCATTCTGTCAGGTGGTATTGTTATCGATTGTTGTGGAACAGAGATTACTTAAGAAGCTTTGCCATTGTTGTTCCTTTGTCTTGTACTGTTTTTGTTTTTTTCTATTGTTCTTGGTTTCAAAAGTTTTAACAATTGTAAACCGCCCAAAGCTGCTGAGAGTTGGGCAGCGTATAATAATAATAATAATAATAATAATAATAGCAGCAGCAGCAGCAGCAGCGCTTTAGGTGCAATCCCAAAACATCTGGAGCACCACTTGAAGACCATCAGTCAATTGCAAAAGTTAGTTTTACTTGGAACAGCTTATATCCTGCGATGATACCTTAAACACCATCAAACAACATCTGCCCATCCCAGGTCCTTGGGAAGGACTCGATAGGTGGATAAAAATGCCAAATCCAATCTGAACATCTGGCTGCCTATGGGACCAACCCTAATAATATCTTAAGAACAGCAGAAATTATTCAAATATTTGAGTGGCTATTTTATGTTCCCACTGTGTTAATATTATGCTTCATTTATTTTGTTTGCTAGAATGCCCAACTGGTCCTGACATCATCCCCATCGTTGCTGGTGTGGTCGCTGGAATTGTTCTTATTGGTCTAGCTTTATTGCTGATTTGGAAGTTACTTATGATCATTCACGATAGAAGAGAATTTGCAAAATTTGAGAAAGAAAAGATGAATGCAAAATGGGATACGGTGAATCATTATATTAATCATCTTAATCGGGCATATATATATTTGGAGATAATTTGCATGCTTCAGAGATTTCAGGCATCAATTTATAAAAATTTATATGTTAGCCGGACTTGCTTTCTGTATATCTCCAGATCACTCCAAGTTGAAGTATTATCTCATGGATAGTTCTTTAATTCTCTTAAAAGTGTTAATTCTTTTAAATATTAACACCTAGATTTTCTAGTTGTAGGCCACAATATTTTGTTCTCTTTATTAGTAGGATTCTATTCATTTGAATGTCATTGAATACCACTATGAATCTTAAAGGAACTAACAGTTTTATGTCAGTACAGCATGGCCTTTTTTCTTTAGAACATTGTCTCTCTTGCATTCCACATTGATGATTTTTCTACCTTCAGCAAGAAAATCCAATATACAAGAGTCCTATTAATAATTTCAAGAATCCAAACTATGGACGTAAAGCTGGTCTCTAAGTTTCCGTTCGTATTTTCTTTTCTATTTCTTTCTCTCTGCATGTGCTTTTCTTCAGGCTCGCTGAATGCAGCTTTAACTAACCATTGCTTGATCCCTAACAAATTTTTATAAGTGCTGTGTCATGTTAAGTAGTAGAATTTAGAGAGCCAGTTTAATGTAGTGGTTAAAAGCACTGGGCTATGAACCGGGAGACTGAATTCTAGTCCTCCCTTAGGCACACAGCCTTTGGACTTTGGGCACGCTACTCTCTCTCTCAGCCCTAGGAAGAAGGTTGGCAAACCACTTCTGAAGAATGTTGGCAAGAAAACTACAGGGACTGATTTGAAGGCAGCAGATAGATAGATAGATAAATAATAAAAAAATAAATAGGAAAAGAACAAGCATTTAAGAACCCCTTTTGCCTCCTTTGGTAAGATCTGAAGCACTAGTGAGTAAAACAAGGAGCAACACCCAAAAAGTGGGAGGTGCAAGCCAGAGCACTCCCTCTTCTTCCAAAGGGTTTCCATGCAAAATTATGGTAGTTACACTTCTGGGCTGTAGCCCTTTTCCAGTCTTAGGGCTTGGCAAATGTTGCAATTTGATGCTCTTTGAATTTGGTAAAATAAACTGGGCATGATGTAGCTACATTTAAAATAGTTTAAATTGTTAACGGAAGAAATAACTAACTTAATGCATTGTCACTGAAATTGCATCTTTTAGCTGGCTAGTTAGTTTACTTGCGAATACTGATAGTGTTTTTAAGCACTATCCCCAGATGGCTATTGTGACAATGGCCACTAACTAAACCTATGTTTTACAGAATAAAAGCATCATTGCCAGGAAATGGAGTACAAGGCAGATATCAGCCTTAGCCCCAACATACAAAGTAATTCCTTTTGAACTCTGCTTTCAGTTCCAGATGAACACAAAAGCAGCGTGATGAGGTAGAAAAAAGTTAAGTTGAACTTCAATGATAATGTATGTAAAACATGCATCCTTAAATTGTTGCATGTTTGCCCTGCCCTCGCTGCTTTCTCTGCCCCCCCCCCCAGTGCTGGGATACGTGGCTTGTTTTATTACCCTCTCCTTCTCAGTTATACCAGGATGTAGGGCATAAAGCCTTTGCATTGAGGCTTTGCATCAATGATGCGCTTTTAAACAACCAGAATATTGGTAGTGTAGGTAAACATGCTGCATTCTTGACGTTTTCTCCTTTTCTTCCTTTTTCTCCTTGTTTCTTTTAGAATATTGCCATTCGATCTCTTGTTATTTGACATTCAGTTCTTTTTTACTTCACAACTGAACAATCTGATGCTACAGGAATCTGGTTATATGATTGTCAGTGACAGCCCTGAAAAACAGAATGCTTACCTAATGTTCAAAAACAGTATCTTGGACTGCAGTCCATAATAGCAGTCCATAATTCTGTGGTGCAATCCAAATGCCACTTTTGAAGTCTGGTAACCCTCATGTACATCATGCGTTTCAGGATAGGGAATTTATTAGCTGCAAATCAATTTGCCATGTCAACATTTATGTAATTTGGAACATATTCACCTGTGATGGAATGGAATTATGAAGGCCAGGCTCAGGGAGATAAGCATTTTCTTAGCTTGCCGCAAGAGCATGGG